CAGACTTTGCTCGGGTTTTTTATACCCTGAACCCATTGAAAATGGGAAATCAGGGTATAATGGTTTTGTGAAAAGTATGTAACAGGCAGAAGGAATCATCGCAGACCCCATAAAGTATATATATTCTTGATCAGGACGACGAGCTGAGTCGATATAGCCCTGTCCGTCTGTCCGTCCGTCCGTATGAGCAAAAGGATCTCAGAAGATATAAGAGCTAGAGAGCTGAAATTTGGCATGCATACTCGTGTATACCATAGGCAGTACAAGTTTATCNAGCGCAGGCTTATGCGTGCGTGTGGATGCATGTGTATGTATGTGTGCATAAAAGAAGTGCAGAATGATTAGAATATCAGCTTGGAGGGTTCAGGGTATCTCCTAGTCGAGCAGTCTCGACTGGAGCCTTCTTACTTGTTTTTTTTTTTTTTTTTTTTTTTTTTTTTTTTTTTTTTTGTGTCTGCCATCTGAATTGGGAGAGCCACTTTCAGCTTACAAATAAAGAACAGAAAGGATTCGAATTTGTATAGGCCATATGTCAAAATATATATTTTTTTTGTAGCTCAAGTTATTAATGTTTTACATTAAACGTTAATTGTTCAGTGCGCAATACAATCGAGGTTGATTTTTAAAGAAAATGAGAAAGTGAGAGAGAGAGAGCGAGAAAAGGGCGCCGAGTGCGAGAGGAGAATGACTTAGAAACGCAGATATATGAAAAAAGAAATAGTAAGATAGAGAGGGAAATGCACAGGAAGTGGGAGAGCATGAAATAATGAGAGAGACAGAGATATGAAATACGACAGACAGAGAGAAAGAGTAAGAGCGAGAGAGAGGGAGAAAGAAAAAGGGAGGGAGAGTGAGAGGGGCGAGAGAGTGAGAGACGGAGAGATATGAGGTAGGAGAGACGGAGAGAGAGAGAGAGAGATAGACGGGAAGTGAGACTTTCTCCCCTCTTACTTTCACTCGCGCTCTCTCTCTCAATCGCCCTCTCTTGATAGAATAGTGGGGAATTGGGATTATCTGACTGGGAGTGAGATATTTTCATCATATAGATAAGTGTATTGAAAAATATTACCAAATTATTATATAACCAAGGGTAATCTCACAAGGCCTAAAAACTAATTTTATTATTAGTTTAATTTGGGTTTAAATCGAGCTTACGTAGTAGTACATAGCAATTTTAATAAAACCATTCTTCTCTCCATAAATTAGTTTAAGTAGCTTGTGCCGCCTTGCTCTAGTGATTGATAAGGGACTTTTGTGTTCTAATGGACATTCCATAGAACCAATTCTGACCGCAAGTCGAATAGGGAAGCTCGTCGCGTTGAGCTTGTTGTGCCATATCGGGCGCTGCTTTATTCAGATTACCCAATCACTCCATTCAGCTCGCTTTTGTCCATAGGCAGCACGTGGAGCGTAATTTAGTTAGAGCTGCAGAAAATTGTTTGGCTTATGTCGGAGCCTGCTGCGTCTCTGTGCCTCGTGTGTTTGCATGCGGTCCAAATTGAATTTGGTCTGAATTATGTTGACAATAAATTTCGAGCTGCCTTTCGGCATGCCCCTTCCCAGCTCTATATCCCCGTGGCATGATTTTGCCAATTAGTCTGCATGGACTCAAAAATGGCAAGCAGCCAGGACCTGAGTGGCAGCAACAGCATCTTAGGTCCCTTATCAATTTTGCCAGGCGCACAGCTGGGCGGGAGGCATGGGGCATGGGGCATGGCGCCATAAACAATGCAATAGCAATTTTAAATCAGCTTTAGAATCAGGTACTTGTTTGCCTTCTTCGTTTTTTGTTTATTTATTTATTTTATTTTTTTTTCAATCCGCAAATGCGGCGACACTGAACAATTTATCGGGAAATTTCAAATTGGAATTCGCTGCATTTCTCAAATACTGACAGATTTCCGCCCGGAAGAAAGAAGGCTGGAGCCGGTGTCGGGCGGCAAACTGTAAGGCATGACTCCTACGGGAACCATCTGTTACAGTTAACCAATCTGTAATAAGTTTTGGATTAAGGTGAATGCATTTATAAAAAATGTAAGTGGAATGTCACATTTTAGCATAACATGGGCTTAACAGTAGAAGGGCGTGGTACAAGGGAGCTCATTCTGGGGTGCTTTGTATTTATCATTGATTGCAAATCCTAGTCATGGGAACAGAAACCTGCTATGGCATGATGCAGGAGAGGGTGATATACTTTTAATGAATACATAATAGTATTGAATAATAGATAATTGAGAATCATCATTCGTAGTATGATTCCCTGAAGTATAAGCTAAACATTTTGGACAGCTCATTTCGTTCTTGAGTATATTAATATTAGTCGCGACATTTGAGACGTTTAATTCAAAAGTCAATTTAAATGTTTTCCACTTCACTTGCAACTTTCACATTATTTGTTTTCGTGTTGTTGCCTTTGTCTTTGTTTTCCGCTTGGCTGCATTGTTACTACGCATTGTTAATACCCCAAGCATGGCAGAGTGCTATACCACGTGAAATGCGTAGTTGAGTTACTTTTTCAAAATTTTCTTTGTTTGCTTAGGTGTTTGCGATGATAATGCGGCCTGCGCTTCATTTATGCCGATTGGCAGCTGTGGAAATTTCGGCAAAAGGTAAAAGCGCCAATTAGGGTAGATGCTGGCGGACTTATCCAGTCTATGTTGCCATCAAAATTAAATCGAATTGATCGAACTAATGCCTGCTTGGTGCGTGAGTCGATTGGGCTGTAAACACTTTTGGCGCTATAAACAGTTCGTGGTCTGAGGTTGAGGCCGAGGCTGCCACTCAAAGAGAAATATTTACAGATACTGCGTAGAGCAAGGCCACACCGCCACATGAAATCAATTAAAATATTTGCATGCAAGAGCTTGAGTGCTAAAAGTAATTGGAAGTGACTATAAAAATAACGCATACGACGCGTGGGCCAAATAGTCAGGGCTAACGAAAAGAGATACGCTTGAGCCTGCTCCACTTGAGAATTTGCTGTAAGTCAACCGAAAAGATAGAAATATAGTTGAGTTTATTACTGAATTGATATTGTTACTTGTTAACTAGAGAGAAGAGCTAGAATACGTTTTTCTAACGTGGGAAAGAAATTTCGGCATACCATTTCTGTCCATCTTTCACAATTTGCGCATTTATTCTTACTCAAACTAAAACCTAGAAAGCTTTTCCTTTCCAACACTGGAACTATAATCTTGGTTAGTTCTTCTGGTGTGACCAGATAAATGAGCTTAGCTAAACCAGCAAAGGGAACTAAGCTGGTTTGTGGATTAGAGCAATTAGAAGATAATCTGATATTGTATAATACTTGGTCCGTGCGAATGAAAGTTGATTTGTCATTTTATATGCACTCATTCTAGAATTGTAATTTACATACCATACTCAACTACAATCAACTACTACTCAATCATACTCGACTAATGTCTTCACCTTCTAAGTGAAATGGGATCGTTCTCGTGAATACAATGGTCGCAATAGTCAATCTATCTTTATTTATTTCCAATATTTCCACTACTTCAAGTATTTTTTGTTGTCAACAAATTAAATATTTATCCAAGTCCTTCTCTTTCTTAATCGTAGGGTATTTCGAAAGCGATCAAAATAATACTATACTATACTATACTAAGTGGAGCTTGTTTATCTTTCGCGCATTGGGAAAGCAAACAAATGCCGCTGTACATCAATCGGTCAATGGCATGCATCAAAAGTTAAATAAAAGCGGGGAAAAAATTAATTAAATGTACGAGCAGAGGCAATGGGGCAGAGCATTTGAATGAATTCTCAGATTTTCATTGCGTTCGTATTACACCCTGTGGGGCATACCCTGTGCCAGCAGCCCCGTAGCAGTAGCTATTGTGCTGTAATGGAAACCACTCGGGGCATTTCAAATATTTGCCAAATAATTAATCACGCCACGTCGTGGCCGGAACGTCGGCGCCTACGTCAGCGTCAGCGACTGCCGCACACCTCCTCCCCCACTTCTGTGAATGCGAAATGCCTGGGCCTGTGCCTATGCCTGAGTCTGTGTCTGTTGGCCACTGATAAAATGAGCTACGAGCCTCGCAGGAGGGGCTGGTCCATTCGGCAAAAGTGCTTTACAGATTATGATAAATTTTTAAATAAAAGCCGGCGGCTGAAATTGTCTACACATGACTCGGCTGACTGTCTCGCTATCTCTTTTAGACACTTGCTTCTCTCTTCCCTCTCTTTTTGTTTCGACAGCAATCACAGATCAGCAGCTGTCATAGTTAAGTAGCATTTAAAAAAATATATATATATATACGAGACGGCTCAGATTGAAACGGAAGCCTGAACAAGGTTTAGGTTGTACAACAATTCGCTTTTGCTTCGGTTATGTAGAGTATTAAAGGCATTTTGAGTTAATTAACTATTTAGCAAACATCACTTTTAGCTCACCGTATCTTATGTTACTCCTGTCTAATCCACCTTACCTCTCCCTCACATAAGCAATCCCAACTATAGCTGACAAATTCTCAGCTTATCCTAGGGGGGGTCCCATTTACTCCATGCTGAACGAACTCGAAAAGAGTTTTCAGTAACCTAAACAATTGTTTTAGAACAAAGCCTTTGATAACTTCATTTGGCTACATAAGTAACCTAAGCCCACTTAAGCTCACTCAACAAAATGTTTTCATCCCTCAAATACTTATAATCTGCTCCACTACTCCCTTTTTGCTTAAGCTCTATGAAGCTTTTAGTAAACCAAAAATTGCCAACTCCATAAATTTGAGCTTAAATTTATATGTCGTGCTATTGTCTCCTCTGAAATAATCCTATTTCTACATACATGTAAGAGTGACAAGAGATAATTAGACTTTTCGAGCTATCGATAATCAAAAAATAAAAAAAAATCACCAAATCCTTCTTAAATCATTCCCGTACATTTCGGGACTCTTGGTTAGGCAATATATCGACATCGAATATCATGATCATCGATACTATCGATTGTGCCACCGATAGTTTTATCTGCTCTGTTATGGATTACAATTTTCACAATTTTTTAGACATTTGAAAAGATTTACGTATGGAATTTTAAAATCGACTCCAAGCATCACGAATAAGACAATCAATGAAACGCAAGAGTTTCCTATGCAAATGAGAATATGAAGTGATTCGACTCTAATGACTTATGAACACGCGTTATGTTTATGGCCGTTGCAGTCACATGTGCAGTCGCCCACGCAGTCGCACACGGGTATGTAGAGGAACTCGCTGTCCTTCCAGAAATCTACCAGCACTTGGCATGTATTCTCCGCGTACCTCTCTTTGACCTTCTCCATTTCGGATTTCTTGGCGCAATCACAGAAGTAATCCGCCTCGAGAATCTTGCTGAGCTTGCCGCAGCAAACATCTCGCACCAGTTTGTCGACGCGATTCGCCTTGGAGCCGAGGCACTTCCTGGGCACCGCCTTCATTCGTATCTTGTGCGTGCGCTTCATATCCACGTCGAGCACGACGGTGGCCTTTATCTGCGGGTCGAAGATGCGCTTGACGCGCACCTCGTCTACGTAGATCTCGTAGTGGGACACGTAGGAGTCATCGTGCTGATACCACTCAATGGACATGCAGTTGCCACTTATCGGCGCCACATTGACGATGCTGATGGGGAAGCTCCTGGTCGCTGGCGGCGGGTACTGCTTGGTACCGTGCAGCAAGTTGTCCATTCTTTGTTTGGTGGCTGTGATCGCACTGATGTCCAGGAGAAAGTCCTTCATTTGCATCTTCAGTTGGAGTCGCCTCTTGCCCTCAGGCGAGCGAAGGTATGCGGCCTGTCTGAGTGCTCGCCGCACTTCAATGCAATGGCAGCAACAACAGTCCTTTTTGTAACGCTCACAGCCGTCAGGAAATAGATCGGTCATGGACAATTTCCCTATAACATTGTCTTCGGGCTCATCTGCGTCCCTCGTCCCAGCGTTTTTCTTGGCTGGACTGTTCTTGGGAGTTCCTGAAAGGCTCTTCAAAGATGACCTACGGGAATCTCTAGGCGAGCCAGTGACCCTTGATGCCGAGCTAGTCCGCGGCCGTGGCGGCTCCATATCACCTGGCAAAACTATGCTCACTCGCCTCGACATATCGAATCTGCAGAAACTAAGAAAAAAAAAAATAAAATAGAAATATCCAAATATTGTATCAAAGACAAAGAAGTCAAAACACTACAAGTAATACAATATATTTAAGCACAGTGCACTACAACTTGATTAAGTTACAAAGGCATGAGAAAGATACAAAAACTAGTAAGAACCCAAACCCATTCACATCCCAACTGGGCGTAGACACCTCATTTTTGGCCAGTTCTTGCAACAAGCGAACGATAACCTAACTGCAATGTTTGGATGCTTACGCTCCAAAAATGTGCAAATGACAGGGTATTTTTTCGATATGCCACGATCTAAAAGGGAGTAACAGTTATTTTTGGGTCATCGAAGGAAGAGGCAACTATTCAAATTTGAAGCTTCTAGCTCTTATACTTTAGGATACATCAACTTTTGCGGTTTTCCACGCATCTTTGGGCGGATATATACCCGATCTCAGAAGCTAGAAGAAATCCCGTTATTTTGCTATCGATCAAAAGCATTACCGAAAATTAGTTATTTAATTATATCTCCTACACCATTAGAGCTAGAGTTTCCAAATTTTAAATGTAGATTTAAATGTCGATTTCTGTCGTAATGACCCACTCTTCTATCCACCCCCTCATTCACATATGCGAAAAAGGCGTATTTCAAACTAAAGAATTGTGGTTTGTTACATGGACGTATTTCAATGTTATAAACTTGATATATAAATTCTTCGAAGGGTTCAGGAGATTTCGTATTCGAGCAGTCTAGACTAGAGCTTTCTTACTTGTTATGCCCTGAACCCACTGCAACTAGGGAATCAGGGTATAATGGTTTTGTTGAAATATATGTAACAAGCAGAAGGAGTCATGACAGACCCCACAAAGTATATGTATTCTTTATCAGCGTGACGAGCTGTTTTCATTTCAGAAGATATAACAGCTAGAGACATTAAAATTGTTTTTAAATGCATAGCGAGCTTATCTAGAAAAATCGATAACTCATTCCGTTATTATACCCTGAGCCCATGGAAAATGGGAAATCAGGGTATAATGGTTTTGTGAAAAAGTATGTAACGGGCAGAAGGAGGCGTGGCAGACCCCACAA